ATGGAAGGCTCAGAAAAGAGGGTGAGATGCCCTTGGCTTGGAAACCAAGGTAGCTACAGAGTCCATAAGGGTCATGACCCAATGTGGTTTCTCATGCCGTGGCCCACTGGAAAGGGACAGTTCCACAGCACCAGTTCCAGCGCCAGCACCTGGCAGGATGATTAACACAGGCAGGAGGGAAAATGCTCTTAGAGACATCGGCTTCCATTATCATCCACCATAGGCCTTTGTTGCAAGGGAAAACCTGAAGTGGGAAGGATATTTCCCAGAAGGAAACCATATGTCTCTTTCAAAGGTAATCGGAAGAAGCTCCCATGCCGTGGCCCACTGGAAATGGACAGTTCCACAGCACCAGTTCCAGTGCCAGCGCCTAGCATGATGATTAGCACAGGCAGGAGGGAGAATGCTCTTAGAGACATCGGCTTTCATTATCATCGATATGGGGGCATTATGGCAACCCAGGATGTTCACCAGAGGCCTTCATTGCAAGGGAAAACCTGAAGTGGGAAGGAAATTTCCCAGAAGGAAACCGTATGTCTCTTTCAAAGGTAATCGGAAGAAGTCACAGTTGGGTAGAACAGTTTTTCCCCCCTCAGGTGGCAACCACAGAAAACCTGAAGTATTTCTAACAATCTGTGTTCAGAGTGAATATCTGGTCAGCTCAGCCCGAAACACAACATAGAACACACTCGGATACCACCAACACAGTACACTCAGTTTTTGTGACTTCAGGCAAGCTTCTGCCAAGCTCAGAAAAACCTCCAGGTAAGAAGCAATCCTGACCCAATTAATTTTCTCAACCTGCTTCGGGCTTAACACGTTCCATGCATTCTAACACTCTGGGAGCTCCTGCCAAGCTTGCCATGTGAATCCACCTTTTTTATAGTGCGACATGGCAGAATGCAGACCCGGGATTGTTTAGGACCAAGGATGAGTTGGCGAAGGGCAACACAAGGACAGGAAGTCCTGAATGGGGTGGGGGGCACAAGGAAGGGCGACCTGGTGCCCATCAGGACTCAAGATCAACAGGTTGGAAGGCAGCTGAGGGAATGGCTAGGATTTTCTGGATCTTCCGAAGGGACAAGGGATCAAGGCGAGCAGAGCTTGACAAGAAAGCTTCTCCTTAATCTCTCTGTGGTGGCGCCCCAATCTTCCTTACTCCCAACCGGCATCTGAACTCACCAATTCAGTGCCCATCTAATATTTGTTCAGGAGGTGATTCCAGTGGGGAAAAAACACAAGGAAATATCCAGAGGATATCCCTCTGTCCTTCCACCATCTGGTCTACTCCTGATGTGAAATTTCTGTTCATGATCCCGAGGAATTATCCAGGAGAGGGACATTTTGTTCCTTGTCCACTCCATTCCCCCCCAGCCCAGATTGGCCAGCACTGTCCTGATTCCCACATCTCAAAGAAAGATCCAAATACACAGAAGATTTTTCTTTGTCCTGGTGCAAAAGAACTTCCATCTCTCTCTCACCTTGAGGAGAACTCGTGTAATTTGGGTTTCCAGTTAAGAGAGGCATTTTCTGAAGGATAAGGGTCACTTTGAACAAAGTTCATGCAGGACAGCTTCCTTTCCAGGGCAAGAAGGCCAACTATTGGAAACCATTCTGAAGTGGGTTATTTTTTTCCGCTGCCTTTCAAGTTGGCAGTAAGCAAACCAAGATGGGCAAAGGAAGAAAGACACTGAGCCTGCAACATAAAGAGCTGTCTTGCTGGATCACACCTAACGTTTTCCCCAAAGATCTAAACCATGATTTGCAGAATAGTCCACCAAAGACCATTAGGAAACCCACAAGAACGATGGGAAGGCAATCTCTTTTTCCCGTCCAATGAGGATCCAGGTACTTGGATGGCTCAACCTTGACATCTTGATTAATAACCACCAGCAAGACGCTTCTTCTCTGGGAATTCGTTCACTTCTTTAAAGAACCGTGTGAACAACTAAAAAAGACACAAACAAAAAACATGCACCTCCCCCACACAAAAAGCCAGAACAAACCCTCCCCTGAAATAAAGGTTGGGTGGAGAAAAATGCACGTGAAACTCTTCCATGTCTGTCCCTGGATCTGAATATTTTGTCTGCTTTTAAAAGCTGCCTTTAAACCTCTCTCCCCACATCAGCGCTGGAAGATTGAAATATCAATTACAGATCAATTTTCTCCTTAAGTAAACACTAATGCAGGATAAACAGTATTAGGAGATGCAATCGTAACATTGCTGACTTCAGGACAGACTGCCTGCTGCTCACAGCAAGTTTAAGCCTGGAGATTAATTAACCTGAGAAGATATCACTTAAGGAAGATTTAAGGCTATCAGGTTGGGAATATGAGGGAACGATGCGCCGTGCATGTTAAAAAAAGAGGTAGGCGCGTACGAGAAAGAAGGCAGCTTTGATTTCTTTCGCCCCCAATGGCTAAGATTCTTGTTTTCCCCAGTGCCAATCCTACATGGCTTTAAGGATTAGGTTCAAAAAATGGAGCAAAGTCTCCTTTCATAGCTAAGCCGTTGTAAAACCATAGGCTATCGGAATAATTTGGGTCCATGATTAGACGAATTGTGTAAATGTAAAAAAGCTTCCACGCCCCGCCATTGTTTTCATGCAAACCAATTCTGCACTCAATCAGTGGCTTTCCCCCCATCATTTGCTCATTTTGTCTCGTCACACCTGGGTTCCAGATTTGGGTTCACAGAGTACAGGGACATGGGCAGATATTTCCCCCATCTGATCCACGTCTTAAGAAAAGGCACAGGGAGTAGAAGACATTCCAACCTGCTCCTTGTCCAAACCTGCACTGTCACCGGTGGACTTCTGAGAAATTAGAAGCTATGTCAAGGATGACATCATGAGCCTGTTTGGGTGTAAAGATTATCAGGAGAGTTGTTTCCCTGTCATGCCACCTTTACAGCTGTGCTTGGTGGGGATGCAGAAGAGCACCTTCTCTGTGGCTGCTCCCAGACTCTGGAGGATGACATCATGAGCCTCTTTGGGTGTAAAGATTATCAGGAGACTTGTTTCCCTCAGTCATGCCACCTTTACAGATGTACTTGGTGGGGACGCAGAAGAGCACCTCCTTCTCTGTGGCTGCTCCCAGACCGTGGAACTCCCTCCCACTGGAAGCCAGACGTTGCTGTCCTTCTGCAAGCAGCTAAGACCTTTCCCTGACCTTTCCCTTTCCTTTCCTTAGTGGGTTTTAAAAAATGGATTCTTGTACCTTCCTGCTTTGAATGTGTTTTGGTGTTGCTTTTGTCTACCACTGTTTAGTGTGATATTTGTTTGATCTTTTTTAGTATTTGTAGACTGTTTCTAGCTTTAAATATTGTCTTTTACCCTGCAAGTACCATCAAGGGCCCTTGGTTCCACATTGCAGTTGCCTCGGAACCACCGAAAGACCCCACTTTCAGTGCATTTTTGCTCATTTGTCTAGAGACAACAGACATCCTTAAGGTTCTGTTCAACGTAGGCGTCGAATCCTAAGCCAGTTCTGATAAAGGAGCCACAGACTTTCCAAAGCACTCCCTCGCTCACGTCAATTCCCCCATTCTCGGGGAAGTCCAGCTAAACCCAACACTGCCAACCCACCAAATCAACAGCCTCTTCGTCTCCTGCAAAGGCTGCAGATTGGCTGGAAAAGGGAAACCTAAGAACCATCTGCTGTGTTTCGGCCCAGGCCGGCCGGCCAGGTTCCTCTCTCTCCTCTTCGGCCTGTGAGCGTCACACAGAAAGGAATTACAAAGCTGTTTGGGGTCTTTTTATTTTCTTTCTAAGCTGGAGGGGGAGAGAAAAATGTGGAAAGGCTCGGTGGTGCTGTGGCTGTATCATTCTGGAGGGAAGCATTAAGTACTTCCGTGTCTCGGAGGAGATGAACCTCTCCAATTGAGCAAGGCTTCCCTCTCCTGGCGTCTGCAGGACGGTGAACGATGGCACCAATTAGAGCCGGCGTGTCACCTTAGGGCCAGCCGCCGTTGTACTGGGAAATGTCATCAGCCCAAAAACAATAGTGAAAAACTAATATCTTCGTTGCCTGCCTTGGAGGAAACAGGCTTCCTTTTATCTTCTTTCCAAATAAGGGGAAGAATATCACTGGGGCTTCGGGGGGAAAACCTCCTTTAACAGCTGCATTGGAAAAAAAACCCAGCAACATCCCTTCACAAATAATTCAGGAGGAGATGCTTTAAAAAAATACTCCGCACTGGAACAAAGCAGGGCAAACACGGAGGAGCGAGCTGCAAATTTAGAGGCATGTTTTTCTCCTGCCTGCTGCAACTTGGCTTGGATGCGAAAGGGACCGGGCCTAGAACACGCTACGTCGTGCAAGGAAGGCACACTTCTGCCATTAGCAAGAAGGACCCCTTAGGCCACCTTGAACCATTCTGCTACAGGATTCTAGGACTTATAAATCCAAAGTAAATAAAGACAGGAAGATTCTCGCAAACATCTGAGTGAGTGAGCGTAATGCAGAGCGTGTGAATACTGGTCTCCAGTGTTGTGTGTTTAGCAGCATGCATGCATCCATCCGTCCGTCCACCCACCCACCCATACTCCTTCCCTCCCTCCCTCCACCTGTCCAGTTGAACCTCTGAAAGGTTGCAATGAGCTTTTGGAGGCAACCTGGGCAAGAACAAGCTTGAGAAGAGACACCCAGGAGCCGAAATGGGCATCTTGCCAGCCCGCCTCGCAGGGAGATGCCTTTTCTTAAGGATGACGCAGCAAAAGAGGGCGAAGGGAGAAGAAGAGTAGTTTTGTAACATTAATCTGTTTTTATTAAGAAGACAGATACTTTATAGTACTTCTTTTTTCTTTGTAAAAATGGTATACATGAACCAATACAAAATGTGAATGGGAAGATAATGGATATGCGTTTTCTTACACTGCAACATCATCCATGGACACCTTAAACAGAATCGGCCTAAAGGGGAGGGGTGAAAGGATTTTTTTCTCTCTCCAAAAAATAAGATTCAGAGGGGGAGGAAAGAACAAGCTTATTTGGCATCCGTTCTCTACCCTCCATATTCCTTCTCAACGATTCTTTCTGTTGTCGCCTTAAAAAAGCAAAGCAAAAGTTAAAAACCCAGAAACCATAAAACCCCCATGCAACAAGGTTGTTCTTTCTCCGCTCTGTAACGAAACCCTTGTCCTCTAAACCTGTACAAATCAATACCTAACAATACATTTCAAACAGCGCACGGGAATACTTGCAGAAAGAGGAAGTTCCTATCGTCTGGATAGACAACTAAAAAAACCCTTCAATTTTCCTGTCACAGTGGCTCGTTGTGTTCTCTGCCAACGTGTGGGGCCAAAATAATCTTTTTGTTGTGGTGGTGGTTGTTTTTGTTTTGTTTGTTTTTTTGCAATCTACCTGAGACGGAAAACACCAATCAAAAAACACATGAACCTGAGACATGTCAACATTATTAAGTCAAAGTTACATTGGGAACACAGCACTACTGCACACTTTTCAAAAACAAATATGAGCTCCTCGACACCTGGGGGGTGCCGGTTTCTGTGACCAACGTGTAGGAAAGAAAAGGCCCCCCCTCCACCTCCCGCTCTCCCCCACCATCTTTCCCCTAGCTTTCTTTGCTCCTCCGGGTGTGGGTGGTTGGCCTGCTGAGGAAGAAGAGTTCGCCAGTGACAAAACTTTGCAGGAAGAAATCTGGGTGGTGGAAAGGGTTCCCACAAGCGTGCTTTTGGGCTCGTATGGGTTCCCAGCAGAAAAATAGGGGGAAACAAAAGGAAAAAGGAAAATGTCGTACCAGAAAGGGGAGCGGGGGGGGGGGAAGAGACTTGAGTGTTGTGTGCCAGATCAGTTGCGGAAATGTAGCATCTAAATCATTCTGCCAATAATTTAAAAAATAAATATATATATCTTTTTAAAAGCTTTCTTCTTAAAAGAAAGAAAGAAACCAAGCAAACAAACAAACTGTTGACATTTAGAGATGACATTCTCCCCCTCCCGGCCCCACCCACCGCCCAAATAAAACCTGTGCAAGTATGTAGCACGACAGCCGTAAAAACTTAAGTGCTTCCCTGGGGTTCACTCTGTCTTCCCCGGGGTTCACTCTGTCTTCCCCGGAGTTCACTCTGTCTTCCCCGTGTGAACTGTTCCCGCTGGAACCTTCCTTTCCTTATTCCCATTCATCCAATGGAGTCTTTCTCTTTTCTTTTTTTTTGGGGGGGGGACAAGGCTTCTAAACGGTTGCCCTTCTCTGCCTCCTCCTACCCTTTTAAAGAGGGAAACGCTCATGCTTCCCTCTCCCGGAAAGTAAAAAAGGTTGCTTCACCGCTGTTGGCGTTTTGGTCCCCCAAGGCTTCAGAATCTGAACTCAAAACTTATTCTGAGTGATCTCTTCACCATTACTACCTTACCTGCTGCAAGGACCAGCGATGTATTGGCCGATGGCTCTTAAGGCTGAGGAAGGGGGCCAAGGAGGGGCGCTGTGTTCAGCAGGTACAGAGCCAGGGGGGGACAAAGAAAGCAACCTTTCTCTCTCTCACGTACACGTACACACACACACACACACACGCGCACACACGCACACACACACACACACACACTGTGTTTGAGTGTTGGATTAAGCAACTGAAAAATCATCCTGCTGATTTCTCCACCTCTGCTCTGACCTTTCCGGAGCAGCAACGCGGGGCCGTCCAACATGACCAGAAGCCCTGCGCTTCTTTTCTCCCCTCCTGCCTTTTGTCGAGTCAAATCTGAAGGAATGGAAAAGTTTCACACCGTCCCCCGCTGGATTCCTCAGCACAAGAAAGATCTGCAATGTACAGGACCTGCTGGCTTGCAATCATCCCGCTCCCCCTCCTTCTCTCTCTTTTCTTGCCCTCTTTAACCAAGTACAAAACAGAAAAAGGGAATAGACCAGGAAGGCAGTGAGAATTAACAACAGCAAACGACAAGAATAATGGTAACAGTGAGGAAACACGTTGGCCGATTCACATTCTTTTCACATCACGGAGATACTTATCATTTTCTTCTTGTGGGCAGAAAATTACAGCAACGGGCGAGGCCGATCAGGAGCCGCCGATGATGGGATCGTTAAGGACAGAGATCAGGGTAGCAGAACTTCATATATGTTTAAAATTTCCCTCCCACTTTGCCTCCTGCGATGCCTCACAAGTGCCTCCTGGCCCAGTGGGATCGGCCCTCCGCGGTCACGGCTCTTCAGGGTCAAGTAGCAGGATGGTGCTCTGGACACCTCGCGTCTGTCCCTGTCCAGACGAGACGAGATGCCCTTTGCGCCAAAGAGTTCTACAGACACGGGACAGAAGCAGGCTCGGTTCCTCTGGGGGGAGGCCAGCCAGGGGAGGCCATGCTTTACTCGCAGGGAACTCGTCACCACACTTCTGAGACTCAGCGGAAAGCGAGAGGCGATTGCCAGGGTTCGGCCCCTCCGGCCGCTTTCCCGGAGACCTGCGTGGCAGCCGCACACCGTTCTCCTAAAGAAGTTCCAAGCTTCCATGACAAGGAAATCAAATGGATCGTGACTACACGGAATTGCAAACAATGAAATCTAAGGTGTGCTGGTTCTCCTTTGATGACACAGTTTCAAACAACAGCAATAAGAATAATAACTAAAAAAAATCCCAGGAGTCATTTTTTTTAAAGAAAGAAGATAAAACACTTAAGGGGTCGGGGAAGGAGAAGAAAAGAAACGAAATCTATTTGGAAGGGATCCCAGCAGGCGATGCCAAGAGAGGCTAGGAAGGAAAACCATAGAATAAAATAAAAATTAAGAAGCAGGCTTTCTACCCCTTCCCTCCTCCCTTCCCTCCAACGAAACAAGGAATCAAACAAGGCACAGAATTTTCTGCCAACGATGGAACGGAACTAAATCCAAGCTGGACTTGGCCAGAGAATTAAAAACCCAAAGGAATGGAGTTTGTCTGGAGAGCAGAGTGGACTTTGAACAGAGTGGACTCCGAGATTCTCCCACACATTTTGCCAGCCATTCATTTGAAAAGAAAAATTCAAACTAAGCAGCACAGGAAGGGAAGAGAAATAAAGGGGGGAAAGACCGAAAGAGACAAATCAAAAGAGCCATAAGCTGGTAGAGCAACTTCCAAGATCACTGTCTTTTATCTTCTACACAGGGCCAGGATCTGTCCACAGTGGGACACCTCGGGGGAAACCAAGAGGGAGGGAGAGAGAGAGAGACCTAGATGAAGTATTCCTTCTTCTCTTCCGAGTTGTTCTGTCCTCCCTCGGCATTGATGATGGCGGTGTCTGCGTCAGCCGCGTCGTCGGCTCCTTTGGCTTCGTGAGTGAAGTAGGTCCCTGCAGAGGAAGAGGCAGGAGCAGAGATTACCCGAGGAAGGTGGCAGGATCCAGAAGGATGGGAAATAATACTGAGATCTGCAGGCAGGCAGAAGCTTTATCAAGAACCTTTTGCAATTCCAAAACAAGAGTCATGACCAGGGTTCAATCCCAGGTAGCCGGCTCAAGGTTCACTCAGCCTTCCAAGGTCAGTAAACTGAGCACCCCCTAGCTTGATGCTGCTGCTGCTGCAGGGGGGGGGGAGTGACAGCAATGTGTAGCTTGCATAATTAAATTGTAAACCGGCCAGAATGCTTTAAGCCCTACGGAGCGGAATGTAAGGAGCACACTTTGCTTTTGCTTTGAGGTACCAAGGATGAACTGGACCTGCCTCTTTATGGCAGTTATTGGTTCAGACTGATAAATATGGTTTTTTCCCCTTGAGGGAGATCTCACAGTCTCTCAGCGCTTCCCTCCAAATTCTTTGCAGCCCTCCCCACCCCACCTCAAGTGTGGCTCAGACACAGCAGGGTTCAAACCCGTGTCTTGTCACCAAGCTGGCCAACCCCAGCAACCCGCCCTCAGCCGGGTCGCTCTCTACCCCCTTGCTGCAGTCCTCCGGGGTCTCTCTGGTTTGAGAATAAAAAGAGGGTCAGGGGCAAATGAGAAGCAAACCGCTCACAAAGGAGGCAGGACAGGTGGCAACGACGGCGGAGGGTTTGGGGCCTCGCCTCTTTTGCCCGTGGCCCAAATGAGGTGGGCAAAATGTATTTGTGGCCAACGTACCTTTGTGTCTTGCAAAGTATCGCCCCAGGATGATAAGGAGGCAGAGCATCGCAAAGACGACCACAGCCACGACTCCGCCGATCACAGCGTGGTCCACGGCCGTGATGGCACTCTCCTCGCCCGCCCGAGAATCTGCGGCAATTGGAAAACAAGAGGCGTTACTTGTCCTCCTGAGAGTTGGGTGGGTGCCCATCTGGGGCAGCCCCTGCCCTCCCCTGTGTCGTTTGAGGGGAAAGGCGCCCACAGAGGCTCGCCCGAACAGGCGGAGAGAGGGTGAGAGAGAGCAGCCGGCCGTGAAGACGGGCTCACCGGCCAGCTCGCCAAGGGCTTCCTTCTCTTGCGGCAAAGCAGCAAACAGAGGCACTGCTGGGCCAGCCAGAGAGCGCAAGCTGGGGACGGGAAGCACGTGGGAGAGCAAGGAGGGAGGGCGCCTCGCTTGGGAAGAGGGGAAATGTACAGCCACAAAAAAGCAAAACGCCCAACGCTCAAGCTGCCCATAGAGACACCCTGCCTCCCCTCGGTATTTTACTGGGACAACCTCGGGAGAGACAACCTCTGCAATCTTTAAAAAAAAAATTGCGAAGAACTACTTGCATGGCTGGATACTAACAGTATAAAACCTGAACAGACAAACGGATGCTGTCCTCAGATTGTGTTTGGCTTCAGAAAAGGATGTTCCTGGAGGCAATCTCTACGTTTTGAATACAATTCATTTGTGGTTCTGATGCAGTAACATGCCAAAACTCAGAAGGATAATTTATAAATCAATCGATTGATCATAAATAAATAAGGATGCTCAGTTCCCCCCCCCCCCCATTGTTCAGAATCAAAGACGGCAAGCCAGAAGGGCACGCGGTAGCATTTCATCTCCAACATCAGGTGCCATGCAATGAATCTGAGGTTTATGACAACTTCTCTCCCTCTTCTTCTTGGGCTGCCTTCTGTTTGGAGAGAAGCATCGCTGGCTTGGTGGGCAAGGGAAGGGATGAAAAATAAATAAAAATGAACCCAGGATGTGACGAGGCAGAGTAAAATTAATGTTGGGGCAATGTAAACAATTTTAATTTAAGAACGTGGCAACAGGCCTCCCTGCAAATCTAATGGCCACCGAGATTTATAATGCAGTAAAAAACAATTATTCTCTCGTTGATTAATACATTAACATTTTGGAATGGAAGCTAAACTGTGGTCGTTGTGTCCCCCCCACATCCCTTTCTTTTTTTATTGAGTCAAACAGTGACACCTCCATTAAAATGATTTACTGGCCATACCTTACAATTTAAGCACAGCAGCAACAGAAACGGTAAAATACTTTTAACTTTACATGATTTGTGAAGTCAGACGTGAAGGATTTACCATTTAAATCTTTCCATACAAGAAGCACACGGCCAATAAATCTGTCCCACCCACCCCTCGCCGGCTGCCAGGGCTCCTGAGAGAAATGTGTTTCAGCAGGAAGAGGCCCGTGCGCAAATTCCAGTCAATTTTTTAAGAAAGATTTATCTCTGTCTCTCTCCAAAGAACAGACCCAATCTCAGAAGCGTCCACCTCTAATAATATTTGAAGTTTATTGATCAAGTGTACAGATCCGTGACAGCTAAAGGTAATGGTGCTTTTTGGAGCCGAGATCTGATACAAAGCTTTTCAGCAGCCGGCTCGCGATTTATGGTCTCTATTGATATTTCCAATTCTGCTCTAAGATTAAGCACCAATGGGTGTCGGTAAATAACTCGTGACCAAGGTGGATGTAAGAGGCAGTTTAATTAAAATAGGTTTCAATTAAGAGAAGGCCCCTCCAGTGGGTTCCCTGACACTAGCAGGGGGGCACAAGACAGATTTTAAAAAGAGGAAGACCGAAATCCAGGTTCACATCAGGGCACAGAAAAGTGGATTAAGGTCAGCAGCAGGCACCCAGCTGATCCTGCAGCGTTGCGACCCAAGTTTTCCTCGTGTGCAAGGTCAGCTAAGGAGAAGCAATGGCCTGCAACCAGTCAGGTGCTGCCTGTACAACCAACACACACACAAAAAACCCCTCCAGCACAAGGTTCTTCCAGCAGCAAGATAAAAAAAAAATTTCTTGGACAAAACTGCCTCTGCATTCTGGAGTCTCCCCTCACAGCTAAACAAACACGTGGCCAAGCCGGCCCCTGCTTTCTTTAGCTACTTACAGGGTATGTACTGTAAGTAGGTGTACAATATTCCACAGTGATCCTCAAAGGCCCCAGCAGATGGAATGGAAAGCTTTCCCTGAGGAAACGCAACTGTCTTCTCTCCCCCTGATGAACTAACTGGTGAGGAGTGTTCCTGGCTATCATGTTGTGCAAAAAGTGTCCACTTGATGAACAAAGTTGGTGACAGTTTTTTGTTGTTGTTGTTGAAAACTGTACGATTCATGCAATACCGTGAATTTTCTCCAAACTAGGACAACTGCTTTTCTAAAAAAAGAATTCAAGGCAAAGGACGGGCTGATTGCAACCTACTGCATCATTTCTCTGTGTGATGCGTATTTGTGTGTGTGTGTGTAGCAATACTTGTGGTTTTTCTCTCCAGGTGAAAGGACATACAAAAAAAATTTTTTTGCACATTGTAGAGGTTTTGACAAGAAAAAAATGGCTCTCTGTCTTGCTCTCACCTGGAGGTACAGAATCTCACTGGGCTAGAAAATTTCTTGCCAAGGTTTTGTGTCCTGTCCAGACAGATTAAATTGACACAAGCAAGGAATTTAGCAGCTGCTCTTTGCATCTGTCACATGAAAGCAGCTTGGAAGGTTCCCCCCAACCTACCCCCACCCCTGGGAGAATGTCATTCATGTTGGACAGGACACCTCTTAATCCACTTGATTTGCAATAAATGAACAAACAAACAAATCCATGTCTACGTACAGGACAAAACATGCAATGGAATCAACTGTAGAAACATCTATGGCAGTGGTTCTTAACCTCTGTTACTCGGATGCATTTGAACTGCAACTCCCAGAAACCCCAGTCAGCACAGCTGGTGGTGAAGGCTTCTGGGAGTTGCAGTCCAAAACTCCTGAGTAACTCAAGGTTAAGAACCAGTGATCTATGGGAAAGGAAAAATGAGCTTTTCCATAAATGGGAAGTAACTTATCTTGAGTGGCATTTTGGAACATAGCAAAGCTCTGCCTGGAGCCACTCTTTGATGTTAGTATTATCTCTCGCAGCATCCCAGGGAAGGCACTGGAGGACTCATGGAGGGTCCTTGTGTTCCCGGAGAGAGCGCGTGCACTCTTGCCACGGCGACCCATCGTGGTGGGACTCCATAATGGCAGAAAGTACAGGCAAGAGAACTTCAGCTGATCCAGGCTCAGCGTGGCAGATAGGATCCACAACCTACCGAACCAAATGCGTGTGTGTGTATGGGGGGGGCAGCACCACAAACTTGCCAAACTCTCTCTCGGCTGCAGCTTGGGCTTGCACTTGAACCAAGAGCGTCTGCTCCTCATTCACCTCTTCCCCCCCCCCAAGATCCCTCCCCTTCCCCTAACGCTAGCCATGGCACTGCTTTGGTGAAGCTGGCTTATTAAAACGTGATTTCTTCCATTGGGATTAGCACTCACATTTTTCTTAATTGTTTCTATGAAAGCAGGAGCTTCGCCAAATGCACACCCTGAGTTTATTTTATTTTGCGCATGGCTACGTCTCTCGTCGTTGAGTGTAAAAAAATTAACTGCCGCACGGAGGAAGCTCGGGGCCTGCATGCCAATGAGCAGAGCACCTGCCAAACTAGACAGCACCCTCCTGCCTTCAAGGATAAGAGCGTGCTCGTGTCTTTCCCGGAACGATCGAAAGAGGAAAAGACGTCTCTCGCCTGCCTGCCTGCCAACCACGACAGAGTTTTTCGCCACAGAGACCTCTAATATTAATCAGTTCACAATGATGTTCCAGGCAGGAAAACCTCCTGGAATCACAGAATGGTAGAGGTCATCCGGTCCAAACTCCTGCAGAGGCAGGACGTCTACGGCTAGTGTATTCCCGGCAGACGGCTACTCAACTGGTGTTTAAGAGCCTCCAATGAATGACAGCCAACCACCTTCGTGGCAGACCATTCCCCCCACTCTAGAGGACCTCTCTGCTCATCCAGACGTTTCTTCCTAAGGCCCTTGTGGGACCACCTGGAAGGAGCAGCTGACCATGGAGCTCTCCCTTGTAACTTCTTCAGCATCTTGACTCTTCCTTCCCTGAGCACAGGAGAGCTCTCTTCAAGAGCACTTCTGCCACCTTCTCCTTTACGAATGCCTTTCCTTGTCTGGCACTGATCCGTGCGCTCCCTGCTTTCCTTCCCTCCAGTCAACAAAAGCTGTCCAAGCACCTCATGGCTCAGCCAAGCTTCCTCTTTCCTCTCACCCCTACTTGCACCCCCCCCCCATCAAAGGCTGCTTAGGAAGAAGAGCCGAAGAGTCAATGGATGGGCCTCCTCTCCCCAGAATGGCACCAACCAGCTCCTCTTCTCCAAGATGCTAAGTCAACTTCAACGTCTTCACCCATTTTTGAGAGGAACAGGGCAGAGCAGGGAGAAATGGTCTCAGGAATATTTTCATCCTCATAATTTAAGATTTTTTGCTGCTATTTCTTAATGGGGGGGGGGAAGTAAATGGCATAGTTTGGACCTGATGTCTGAACATTAAAAAGAAATGTCCCCTTCAAGTTGCAGAACTGGTGCTTGGAATGTTTTTGGTGAATTATTTCATCACCTCTCCCCTGCAGAGAGATTTTACAGCCAGGACCAAGCTGGCTCCCTAAACACCAGGGATATTAAGAGAGGCATGGGGCGATCATGGATTATTCACAGACTCAGTGACAAACTTCCTTTCCTGAGCTAAGAAAGCCAAGACGGAAGGTGGGGCACCGGGCTTGTGCAACAAATATTTGCCCTTAAAAACAGGTGTCAGCTGAAACAGGTTGTTCCAGTTAACGTTGTCTCTTTTGTTGCGGAGCGAAGGGGGAAGGACCCCCCACCTCACCCATGTCGCCGATACAGGACTGGAGAAGGACAGACTGGATGACGGGCGCTGACAAAACGCCACATTATTTGCTAATCCTAATGTGTTATTCTTCCTCAAGATTTGCTTTTCTCAGCACCAATTCAATTATAGATGCTACAAATCCTTC